CAACTCGAGATATTCTATGATACCCGGGTGTCACATACAGCATGCCACATTCCTGAGACTGGTGCGTAGCAGTAGGGAAAAGCTTTCTCACTGTATCAGTCTCCACTGCCTTTTAGATGTCAGCCTAAAACCATCCTCATGATCAGACTCACTGCTTATGCAGACGAAAGTCAGAAGGATACAGTGAGACACGCACAGGACCTTACCTGCCCAGGCTTGTTAGCACTGCCATGTTAATTGGAAAGCCAGCAGGTATGCCTGCAGGTGTACATGGCACAGCCAGGCAAACGGGGGACAGGACAGATTCATGGCCGCTCAAGACTGTTCTTGTGGTTAACAGCACAGAAGTGAGCTCTGCCACGCATAAGGAGAGCCTGTGCATGTTCAAGAGAGGAAGGGAACGAAATCTGTGAGAATGTTCAGGAACTAATGGGAGCATCTGAGCAAATTTTGGACTGCTAAGATCTGCGCTATGTAAATAGTGACATAGTTGTAACTGTCCACAGTAACTCACTGAACTGTAGCTCTCATTTCCTTCTAACAACACAATTATTAGATTTGGGCCTGAATGGTGGCTTGAGGGAGGCACTCAAATGAACGAGAAACTCAGGAGCTTAATTTAGTTCCAAATCCAGGCTCAGCTCCCCTTCCAAGATTGTATTTGATTCCCATGGAGTAAAGAGAAAGCTCAAGTGCAGAGCACACAAGGTGAAATACGGCAAGCCTACATCCCTTTTCCAGATTATGAAGCATGCCTTGCAGAGAAAATTCGTCTCAAATTTCATCTCAGCATTTCTCCAAAGTGCAAATTCCGCATTTCTGGGATTCTTCAGCATCAGCGCTGTGGGACTCGTGTATGTATCTGTATGTACGCCACATTTCACCCACAGCTCCTCTGACTATTTTAGGCCTCTCACTCCCCTAATCAACTTGTCACACGCTCCCTCCTTTCCCATCTCTTGCCCTACCATAGCAAGCAAAGGTGTCCTCTGCAGCTAAGTTCTGCACATAGATTTCTCAGCCTACTAGGTGGAGCAGCTCCAAAAGGGTATCAGTTAGATACCCCTTGGACAAGCAGCAGCAGCTCAGAGGCATAACCCTAACATGGAAAACACTGGTGGCTGCAGTCATGTGTAGTGAAAAGTGTCTCACGATCTATTCAGACTGTTTCCTCAGAAACCCATCCCACTATAAGCAGAAATAACAATTTGTGATGTGCTGGTAGCAGGATACAAACGGTATCTTTTATCTGCTTCTTCTACCAACCCAGCCTGTAATATCACCAACTGCTTCAGCTCCAGGTTCAGCACTACCAGAAGGAAGAGTGGCCAACGTGGCCAATTCATTTCCCTCTCATTCTCAGTTTAAAGGACTTCTGTAGCTCTCTCCTGACACCATCCACATCTCTGAACTATCAATCCTCCTCCTTCCACCCCGCAAATGCTGAAGACATTGATTGACAATGTATTTTCCTCTAGTTGTCAAAGCACACCGCACCCTTGGAAAACACTGCCGGTGCTTCTGGGTGGGCAAGCGACAACCACCTGGCAATAATTATAAAATAGAAAGTAGCTGGTCGAGTATTAACAGTAAAAATGCTTTTCATAAGCAATAATGAAACAAACATGGGTTTCACCTGCTGGACAACTTATATTGTGATTTGGAGAAATTCTGTAAGTGATTGAAAAAAAACGGTCAATTAAGGAAAGAGCAAGAAATTGGAAACTAGTTATCTTGCAAGATGACGGAGAAAACATTTTTTGTTCCCATCAGACTAACAGCTCCCTCTCACATCTGCCACAGTGAGCGTCTACCTTCCTAACCCTTCTCACTCCTGCCTTGTGTCCCAAGTTTGCAGGCAGAGTTGCCAATCTCAGGCAAACAGCGTTGTTTAAGGTAATGCTTAATGCTGTAATGGTTATTCAAGGTTTCAACGTATTACATCGTTTTTGTCTTTGGTCCTCACCCTGCAGCTCTATTTTTAATTGGCAAGAAATTAGTTCTTCCCCAAGTCAGTCTGTTTCGCCTGTGACACTAATTGATAAATCATCTCCCTATCTTTATCTCAACCCACAAGCTTTTCCATCTTATTCTCTCCCCTCCTCTGGTTGGGAGGAGTAAGAGAGCAGCTGGGTGGGCATCTGGCAGCCAGCCAAGGTCAACCCACCACAATAAAACACACCCAGAAAGAAAATCCTCAAAACACTTCTTAATGTGACAAGTAAATGAGGATTTCAAATTGTGGGGAAAACCTGTCTGTCTTTACAATGATGAACCAAGGGAAAATTTGGACAATGAGATTTCTTCTGACTACAGTTATAAAGTGTTCTCTGTTCTTTTTAAGTATACCTCCTAAGCAAAAAAATAGTATTATTTCATATATCTAAGCTCAGTTATTAATCCCTTCAAATGCCTTGTCCAAAGACTGAAGCCATCTTGTCAAACAACTGACTCCCTACACTTTCCATTACCCATCCCATCATCCTGTATAAAGCAATACCAATGATGGTATTTTCCTACCATAAAAATCACCCCCCGCTATTTCATGTGGCACCAGCCAAGTGAAGTCTCTGATACACTTACCTGAATAGACCTGAAATTTGTGATAAATCATGCATGTAGACAAGTATTTATTTATGCAGCGATTTGATTTTCTAATGTTTCTTGCTTTCTTCCCTTTCATTATCTTCTGTCTTTGATCTCCTGAATCTCTTACATTATTCTAGCAGGTCAGGTTGCCAAAGTGAAAATCCCTCAGTGCAAGACAGTTAAGATCCTCCTTCTCACCCCTCTAAACAACCCTTGCTTTGTTTTGCCCCCCCCCCGGCATCAATTTTCTATAAAAGACCACGAAAAGGCCCTTTCAATACAGTATACCAACTATTAAATAGAAGAAGTTATTTATATGAAAGGCAAAAAAAAAAGTAATTTTCCTTCTTAATCTCATAGCCCACATATTAGATGAAATGTAACACTTCATAGGGTAGGGGAAAAATCATGGTTTAATTACAACAATGTAGCATAAACACTTTAGTAGTCGATACCAGGATATTATTGTGAAGTCTAACTAAGCTTGAGTTCTCCACAGATACCGTAAACAGACACTCTAATTTCCCTAAATGATTGGCATTAAGAAGGTTTATACAAAGGCGGTCAGTTGTTTAATCTTTAAGATGTCATGACATGGTGAGACAAACACGCATACATCAGTAAGTACAGAGAAATGTTATGCTACATTTTGGACAGTTCAGAACTGAAAGTGCTTCACATCTATAGGATAAGAAATGGCTTCATCTCCTCATCCCTAAATGATGAGAGCAAAGAAATAACCTTTTAATAGGTTAAATAAACAGTGCCCCATTTATCCATGCTTATATAAAGTTTCCAACAATTCAGAAGGTCCATGGTGAAATTTACAGTCTATATACAGTATAACAAATTGTCAAAGAAAAAAGTTCAGATATTCCTTGGTTCCCAAAAGCCTGAAGTTCGCTCTCTGCACTAGAGACAAAAGCTACCTACAATATTAGGCGGGGTTTTTTTTCTTTTCTTTTTTTTTTTAAAAATTAGTCAACCCAATCCACCTTGAATAAAATCAGTCCTTAAGTCCTGGTCATATTTAACAACTGCTTAATCCCAGTGTTTAAGGCATGTTCATTAGATGTCAGTATAGGGGTACTGTCAGAAATGATAATAATCACAGGTACTAAGAGTCAGCAAATTTACACAGCAACGCCACTCTTTACAATATAATGTAAAACAAATTGTTATGATGGAAGTTGTTCCTGAGTTAAAATTTGCTAAATACTGCTAAGATCCATGTTTTCCTTTTATAGTCCTTCCTCTGGAATGTCCTTTCACATATGCTCAGTTGAAAATTAAAATTCACTCTGAAAATAGCCTGTCAGAAAGTAAAAATGTTAGCAAAATTCTAATTATATCAGCATTCCCAAACCTAAATTTAGCCAAGATGCTATGAATTTGCAGGGTTTAGTATCACTTAGCTTTTAGCAAGAGTATTTTCTAAATATGAAGATAATTATAAACGTCAGTCCACATTTTTGTGCAACTGCAAACAACAGAACAAGATTTTGGTATCAAGAATTATCATAAATTTAAAGTTCTGTGAATATATGTAACTGATATTATAGACATTTTTAGTTTTCTTATCCAGTCTGCTCCTTTAGAATTAAAGGAAGACATTTTTAAATTGTAGGAACACAAATTAAATACCTACAGATACATTCCGCTTTTTAAATCGGACAACTAATTGTCTATTCAGATTCTTAAGTATCCATTCCCACAGATTTGTTCCTCAAGTATGTAATCATTGACATTCTTTCCTATTTAAAAAAGCTGTTCTTGGCTGAGAAAAGTGGATAGCTTTAAAAATAGATATTTCATTAGATTCAAAATGTGCATGACAATTCCTACCACCCAAATCATCCTTGCTCCAAGCCATTAAAGTTCATGTAAACATTTGCTCAAGTCCGAGCATTAAATTTAACAGGAGTTAAAGGGCACTAGAAAATCAGGATGACAAAAGGTGTGACTCAGGTCTGTGCTATACCTGCACTTCTGACTGTCAACTGAAGAAAAACCCCTCAGAAAATTGCACTGTCTGGAGTTTGATCCAAAGTTTGCTGACATCAATGAAACACTTACAAACGAGCTTCAATGGGATTAGTAGTTTAAGTGCTCCAACTGAAGCTCACCGTTTGCAGTGTTGTAGCATCTCCTATTTTAAATACAAGAAAGGACTGCAGTAATTGCACCTATCAGACTCGGCAATAAATGTTCATTTATGTATTTTCAAATGTGTCAGCAGTGCAAATTATGAATTACAGTGTGATTTAAATTTCCATTTAAATCCTAGTAGGACAGAAACCAGCAACACGCTGAGAAAACAGGGTGGGAAAGGAATGACTCTGTTTTGAATTCCCAGGCTGTGGAAGCAGAGTCTTACATAGTGGTATAAAAACAAAGCTCTGAATGAAGTCTGGCCTAGCCCATGTGTCTTATGCATAAAGGTTAGCTAAAATTTAATTGTTGTGACCACAGAATATAAATAGCAACAATTTATTCACAAAATTCTGGATTATATTGATTTTTTTGCTTTAACAAACTGTATGATCTATTAAATTATCAGCCAGCTGTATGTTTAAGCACAACAATAGAAAATGTAGTACGTAAACACCTAAAAATCACAGTCATAAAAAGCAGGCAAGTACATCAGTCTTTTGGTGGCCAAAGCACAACAGATTAGTCTGCCAAACAAGTGTACGTGAACGTAAATCATGGGCATTAGTTTTGTTAAAAATTGTTTCTACTGTCAATAAACAGCTTTCTGTATTTTAATACTGTTCTTAAAGAATTGTAAACTGTTTAAAAATGTATGCACAGACATAAATAACAGTAAAGGATTTAAATACAGTGGTCAATAGGAAAAATAAGTTTTTAAATTTGCATGTGTGATGAGTGGGTAATTTGGAACAAATCCATAATTATCCACAAAGAACTCTAACCTTTCTTAGGTAAGACAGTACTGCCATCATTTCTAACACTTGTGACCATTATAATAACAAGAGAAAAAAAATAACATCAGCCCTGATACATCAATCACATATGCATTCAAAATTACAGATATTTACAAGAAAAATATATATTTAATTAAAAAGCCACTGAAAAACATGGACTTTTAGTCAGGTGCTGCACTTTCTGCAAAATGAGGTAATTTAGATGCAAACAAATTAAGTTTAGTAGAGTTCAGGATCCATGGTCTCCACACTTAAAGTACAGATTGCTTCAGTAAATGACTTGACTTTTCTATATGTTCAGAGCAAGAAATCACTAGATCCAGTTAAATCCTGTTTTGTAGTGCTCTTGATGCAACACTGACTAATGTCAGAAGGCTTCCCAGCTCAGTTTTACAACTGGTCTTTCAATAGAAAGAAGGGGAGGGGGGGAGCAAAAAAAATTAGTTATAAGTTGGTTTCATCCCAAGATGGATCATTCATGTTCTTTAAAACTTTTCTAACAAGCTTCTCCAAGTCCTTGCGAGCTCTTTGTTCTTCTTCTAGTGATTTCTTCATCTTTTTGTTATCCTGTTTAATAGAGACAGAAATATTAGTGTTTGGTTGGGTTTTTTATTTTTCTTTTTTGTAACAGATCTTTTCTGACCACACATACGCTGTCAATTACAAATTCTGAAGGCTCTTCTCAGTAAGATTGCTATTAGCTGTTCAAAAGCAAAGCCTTCTATTAAAATCTCACAAGTTACACACGGTTACTTTACACAATGCAACAAACCCCACCAAATGGAAACTGAGCTATTTCCTATTTATACTTAGGGGTCCTTTATAATGCAAGTGCTAGTAGCAGATGGCCAATAATCTTGAATTCGTCTGCTCAAATCTGATCAATGAACAGTAGAATATATTTGTTGTTAATGGAGAAGGGAGATGGAGCAGTAAGTAGAATAAATATCCCCCCTCAGAGCCTCCTGCGACTATAACTAGTTTCACAATTTCAGAAAAGCTTCTTAAAACGTAATGCAAATTAACTTGCTTCATTAGGAAAGTAAATAGTTGAAAGGAGGATCTTGAAAACCATTGTGTTATATAGAAGGTGTTCTGCGACTAAATTTTAAACCAGACAGATGACTACCAACAGTCTAAGGGGAGTCTGAATTTCAAGGAACACCACCACTCTGCATGTATACTAACGAGTGAGTTAGTTCTCAATATTTAGCCCCATCAGCTAATATTGCAATACCATGAACAACAGGACCGTAAGGATGTCACTGACCAAACCACAGTAATGCTTACATTGTTTAATCCTGCACAGGCCAAAGTGGTGCTGGCAACAGTGGGGAAGCAACCAGAAGATAAGACAACATTATATTAAGGCCCCAAGACAACAAGTCTACAAGTGTTTAACAAACACGAGTCTGCAATCCAGGGGTCCCACTGGACTCCCATCAGCTGTCATTTACAGACATTTCTAGAAACAGGATGGGATCAACAGCTGCCACCTCATTAACTCCATTCCCTCCTCAAGTCTGTTGAGAAACTCAGAAATTTTGTTCTTTTTTTGTAGGTACAGACTTAGTTTATTTTCAGTTATTTATTTACTGCCAATTCAGGACTGTACTATTCAAGTGTAGTGCCTGGGGAGCAACAGCTATGAATAACCTATGGAAGCTGCTATGGGAGGGATCCCACTTTGCGTGGTAACTCTCACCAACAGGCCGTCTGGTGTCTACACCAACCAGTGCACACACTATATACTCCCAGTGAGCCTTTATCTATAAAGCCCTTGGTCACTCGGGACCTTCCCAGCTCAGAGATCATTTCGGCCACTTCTCCAGTTGGCAACATCACAGCAGCAGACCAATAAACACTTCTATGCTGAGATTCCTGATATGCAAAAAAATGAACCCAGGCTTTGGAAGATGCAAGATTCTGAAGAGACCATCTATTTGGAAAGGCACCAGAAAAGAGAGCTGTTGCTTGAAGTTCAGGAGAAGGTTACTTTTTGTTCAGGGTCACACAAAGATCTGTGGGGCCTCACTGAGGCAGCACGTTTATCCTTCGTACAAAAGCAGCCAGGCCACAGGAATATTAGTGGGTTATTATTGCTGCTTGTATTACGTGAATTGTATTTTTAAAAAGACTGTCAAATTTGCATCAAACCTGGGATACGCATGCTTTATATGTTGAAAACAGCAGAATTTAAATGTTTGAGACATCAACTGTACTATTTCAAGGAACATGCATGACATCCTTAGAAACACTGGGCACGCTTACAGATGGGCAAAGAAATCTGATTCACGTTTATAGCCCAAAGCCTAAAGTAATTTGAATACAAATCCATTTCACATTAACCCAAGAGATTTTATCCAGCTTCTTGAGTCAGAACTGTTAAGGTCTGTTAGCAAATTCACACATTGGAGAGTGAGGATAATTCAATGCATTTTCGCCTACACATTAAGCAATGACTACGTGCAGCAGCATTAACATGGTTTAAACAGGCTATGTACTGACAAGAAAAATATATTTTTAAACAACTCCTTCTGAATACTTAAAACAAGCTTAAAACACCAGCTGTAACTCCCATACCAGGAACTCAGGTGAGATCTTGCACAATTCCCCCACGTGACAAAGCAGCACCCTCAGCTCACCTGAAGCCCTCATTAAAAAAAGGCCACATGACAAAGGACTCTCATCTCTGAAAATGAGAGGTTTTAAGAACTGATTTGTAAGAGGTGTTCATGTTACTGAAAGACCATTAATAAAGGCCTAAATAGATGCAGACACTTGTACTACTAAAATTATACATTCTAGAGCAAATACTATCTCACAGTCTCTATAAGCTTATTTTGCTGGTGTTACAGCAGAACTGAATTTGCTTAACGCTTTCAACATTTCACAAGTTGTAACATCCAACAATAAATGAAACACAGCTTAGTAAGTCACCTCAGAGAGAGGATACTTAACGCTGTTCTCAGAGGCTGGTGCTCCAAGGACCGATGACAACCACAAAAGAGGGTGCTTTTTGTCAAATCGGTATGTTTTACTTTTAAAAGTGAATCTAGTCCAAAATTGAAGTTCATTCCTGTCAAAGTGAATCAATTTACAAGCCGTATTTATTTTTATAATAAGCCTTCCATGTTTCCGTTCTCCATGTTGCTATAAATGTAGCAAGTTACCAACCTGTCTTAACTCCTGTACTTCATCCTTTAATGCATATACTGTGTCAACAAGGCTTCTAAAATGAAAAAAGAAGATGACCTGTTACAACCATTTTTAGATATACATGTCTAAATCTATTATTAGACAAAATTGTTAAATGAAATGCATTAAAAACAAACAAAAAACCACCCCACAGCTAACAGCTAATTTCAAACTTGTGTTGAAAAAAATTTACTCTCATCCTGATTTATATTCAGTAAGGCAAGGACCTGTTACCAGCTTCTGTGACAGGATACACCTCTCAAGCACATATGGACCTATACCGGTTTCTGTATTACAGCTTTCTGTAACAGAACTTAATTTCCAACATACACCTTACCAAAAAAATAGAATGACGCCACACACTAACTAGAAAGATGACACCAATTTAATATTGAAATCCTACAGCACTTGGAAAAACCGTGTACAAGTGAAACATATCACTTCTTGGCATGGAAGGAGTAAGTTGCATAGCATATACAAAGAAACCAGACTACAAGCATTTAAATGAAGGCCAACTGCACTTAAAGGACTGGCAGCATACTCCAAACAGCTCTGTTCCCTACTACAAATATATCATACACACACTATAATGGGAGACGGGAAGAGGAAGAAGAGTGCAAAGTTTACTGGTTTAATCCATCATTCATTAAATGTTCTCTTACTTCTCTTCTATAACAGTCTGACCATTACTTTTAGTTTCTTCTACAATAATTTTTTCTTCTTCTGGAAGCAGGACTTGAGGAGCTGATTCTTTACGGGAACCTGTTGTAAAAATAAATTACAAAATGAACAACTCACAAATATTGCTGGGGCATTTTAAAGATTATTATTTCATTCCTTGCATGATACACCTGCATGACCAACATATATCACATTCCATTTCCCCCTTCCCTGCACACACACAAGTTACTGACACATTTTTTACATTTGAAACCACAGCCTTACAACAACAAAAAAACTGACATTTCTATCCTGCTGCTGACATAGCTCCTGTGTCATTGATGGGGATGCTACATCGTTCAATGAACAGTGCACGTTCAACTATCAGTAAAAGCTATACAAAGTCACCATAGCTGACTCAGAAAAAGCTAGATGTGTTTAAGTAACAGTGATTTAAGCCTGAGGGACAGATTCTGATCTCACACTGATACAAATCCAAGAAACAATTCCACTCTAAACCAATTACTCTATCAGTAAGGAGCAGAATAGTGGTATCAAATGATACAGTGATGGAAGAAAAAAAAAGTTAAAACCCCTTTCCCCTGAAACACTATAAAAAACACAATTGTATGTGTGCACACACACATCACTTACAGATAGCGTTTTAGTCCTGTAATAAATTCCTACCAAATGAAAAACATACTTTGTATTTAATAGATGTTTTTAAAAGCACTTAATGGTTTGACAATAAAAACTCAAAACGTTCCAACATCTTCAAAACATTTTGCACAATCATTGCAATTTATAACATCAAGATAATACATATAGATTCTAAAAAAGTAGCTCTGAATAGAAAAATCTACAGCTCAGAGATGTGCATCCATTCATACATAAAGTATGTATTCTAGAAATGTTTTTTAATTAGGCTGCAACAAATTACGAGCTTTTTTTTTTAAAGGCGGCCTGTAAATAAATTGCTGTCTAAGCATTTGTTCAGAATTCAAACACACCAGATAAGGCATTAAAGTTCTTGCATATTTTAACCAAGATATCAGTTTTAACAAAGAAGGTACACTTGCCTACCAATTCATTGTAATGAACTTTCATTAACCAGGAATGTCTTAAGTCTAGTACAGTTTGAACTGATAACTAGGTACTACAAGGTGCATGCCTGTCAGGAGAAATTAGTTAGCTCTTGCTGAACAGCTGCTTTGTGGTAACAGTGCTTTTCTTTTATGGTTCATGATAAAATACATAATCTAAACACACAAAAAATGAAAGAAATCAAGCTCATCGAAAAACACTAACTTCCCTAACAGCTGCACTCTTGAATTCTGAACAATGAGCTTGTAAGGACCGTAGCTTAGCAGTACGTGTTAAGCTACTGAAACTATTTTAGCAAACAATGACAAACGTCCTTTAATGAAGAAAACTGTTTCCTTAAGCTGACAGTGAAGATCTACTGTATCAGTACGTGATGGTCAAAATTTTACGGAATTAAGATCATTGCACATTTGAGAACAGAATCTCATCCTTGAAAGCTCCAAGTTCTTCATCTTACAGAGATAAGAAATCTTTTAAGGGTTAATACCCATCCACTCCCACTTATTTTCCAGGGAATGAATGACCTATAAAACAAGCACATCCAAACTCTGTATGGAGCTCAAGGACATTTCCCTGTTTGCGCTGTCAATCTCTAATTGTAAAAAGTTGTCTTATGTTTATTTCAGTTAATTGGTTACTGCTCTGCCTTATTATAGCCCAGGAGGTAACAAAGAACACTGAGCTAAATGTTTAGTCATTAGTTGGCACCAGCTGCTACCAGATCACTACATTTTGGGTCTCTGTACCAATGTGGAGCACCTCAGCCCAGCACACGCTGAGGGAGACACTGACCAAAGGGAGAGAACTACCACGTGTTTCTCGACCATGACTCCCTTCAACCACATTGTATTTAGCTCTGTATAGAGCTGCATCCAATTGTCTGCCTGGTCAGAGTAACATGGGTCCTTGCAAAGCGGGAGTAGACAGCTTTAAAAAAAATGTCCCAGCTGTACAGTTATATACACACATGCATGTAAAACAGATGTCTACACCAGCATATCTTGATGTATGTACATCATAGCACAGCAAACACTTAATACTACTGAGACACAGAATGCAGTTTCATTAAAAACAAAATGTTCACCAACATTATACACACAAGGAGACCACACAGTACACATACACACTTACACGATGCAGAACTGTTGCTGTGAACACTGACCTTCCTGTGTCACAAAACATTAACTACCACGGAATTCAGGACATCACAAGTTTCGCTCTCGCCTTCATTGCTCTGATAGCCTCGGTCATGCAACTTTATTTGTATCTCAGAACCCTCGCTGCTCTTACAGCTTGTACTTATGCAAAAAAAACCCATCAAAAAACACAACACCCCTCCCCCCCTTCCTCCTTTATTTTGGTTTGCTTTTTGTGAGTTTTGGCAGGATTTTTTTTTTCTTTGTTGTGGATTTTTTTTTCCTAAACCCCACAAGCACTTGCTAAGTATCAAAAGGTACAAACACACAGCACATCTATCCTGCAGCAGAGGACCCTGTCATCAAATGAGTACGTGCACAGGAACATCAGACCTGATGTGTCAAGTTCTAAAGGCAAAATGAAGCTACTTCACTGTCCTGCTTTTCCGCACCATTTATGCCAGAAGCTTTTCTTAAGATGCATTTTCTGGCAATTATGTGTCTAGAATGGACTTCAAGCAGAGTCACCTCATTACTGGCACTTGGCAATATTCCCTAAGTTGCGCCTTGTGCCTCCACCAGGTTCTCTATGTCTATTCTCTATGTGACCATTTCTCTCCAGAGAAGTTTACAACCCGCAGCTTTAGGACATCAAGAGAGGGTTGTGTTATGGCACAGCGGGGATTTCATGCAGAGTTGTACTAAAAGGATGGTCCGGGAAGTTGCTGCATCTTAGAGAATCCCAAGCACCTCCTTGGGATGTATTCCACATTTTCATGAAGTAGTGCAGAAGAATCAAAAGTTACTTCAGCTTGCCGTATCTGCCATTCCTCAATCCTAAATGTGCAAGTTTCGTGCTGAATTTTATGAAGAGACACTACTCAGTCTCGTTCCAAGTCAAACAAGCCAAAAGACAATGTTTAAATTGACCTCCAACAACTCTGGCTCTAAATCACCTTGAGACAATACAACCAAAAGTACTAGTTAAAAAAAAAAAAAAAAAAGAGATGGACAGCCCCCACACACCCACAGCTTTACAAAACAGGGTTTCATTTTGTTTTCTTTTCCTTTTTTCCGAGGTATCGAGGGAAGTAAGGTGGATGGGAGAAGAAAGGATGCTTGGCAAACCAGACAGTTACTTCAAGATTCACAAACAAATGTTAAGGCTGAGTAAGTTGCCATAACTTTTCAATGGGGATCTCCTAAATCCAGGGTCTTGGAAGAATGACCCTACTGTTTAGAACTTTGTTACATATTTAAGGCAAAACAGCTGACTACTATGATCAAGATTCAACTAAGTTTCCATCAATTAAATTCCACCAAGAAAATAAAAGGTATCTATTCAATATCAGTATGTCCCAGCCCTACAGTGGAAAATAAAGAATTACAATGCTTTTTGCCAATACCATACCCTGAATCGTAGGTTTAGCAAGTTTAGCCTCCAGAGTAAGGCAAGTAATAACAAAGCCCACCTGGCCTTCAGACCAGGGCTAGAGACCTTAGCAATACCCACTATGTAATGCGGTGCAACACCTGACATACAAGAACAGGCCTGTGGGTAAGAGCCCCCTGCTTTTAGTTTTCAGTGTCTGATCCCCTTTCCAGCCTAATCAATCAACCACACCAGCAAGCAGTTCTGAGCATTTCTAGAAAAAAAGGAAAGCTGAAACCTGTTTGGATATTTATGTGGCTGAAAGACTTCATGACAGAAGTTCACTTTATACCTGTCTGAAACTGGTAAAGCATCACTCCTAGCCCTGGAGTACGATCTTAACACCAAAATGGGAAGAAACTAGAGTGCAAACTGAATGCCACAGAGGCTCTCAGTGATGTCTGTGAGCATAACTGCACAACCCCAGCCTTTTATTCACTCTCCTCAAAAGGGAGCGTGACATCTTAAAAAATGGTTGATATGGTACCATGCTGGTTCCTGACAGAAGCCAAGCTTCAGAAGGAGCTGTACTGGTAATCAGTCTGGTCCTTCATTCTGAATCTTTTAGCAGGCACACGTGGAAGAAAGTCCAGAAGTTCTGCACAGATCTTAAGACATCAGGCAGAAGGGAAGGAAGAGAAGGGCGATGAAATTCAGATACCTTTTCACTTTAATGAGATATTAAGTCTCCGCCTATGTTCAGAGACCTTCTCTGTCCAGGAACCATTTAAGCCAACAGTAAAATGGAGGTGGGTATTCACATCACCTACTTTTAAGTAGCTAACCTCAGGCCCTCAGTTAAAAGCCAGCTCTCCCCAGTCAATCAAGAACAGGGTTCCTTCCTCCAGCTGGCTGTTTAGAGAAGGCTCAACCCAGGTACTTTCACACTGATAATCTACAGAGAGTTTGCCTTCTTCCAGCGACTACGAAGGTCGTAATTAAAGCTATGAAAGTGAGACCTGTGGTGATGGTGGTTAACTTTCAAAAATGCACGGCATTATTTGAGGCCATTAGCAATAATTCAGTTTTTAAGTATTGCTGTTTTCTTCACTTTTTCACACCTTTATCGTGATTAGGAGAGGTAAGAAGGGGAAGGCGGCACAATAAAGGTCAAAAATTAGAAACAGTACTTGTAAATATATAATTATGTTTTTCACCAACTTTACTAGGCTCTCTTCATAAGCTAAGCAACTCTTTGAAATTATGTGCTTGAGTTTCAAAGACAAAAGTCTGAAGTGCCACTAAAAGACAAATATGTGCATACACAACTGTTTAGATCTACCACTAGCCACCGGTATGTACAGACATGTAAATTTCCCGGAGAAGCAAATGTTGGACAAAAAATAATTAAATTGACCTCCAACAACGCTGTCTCTAAATCACCTTGAGACAATACAACCAAAAGTACTAGTTAAAAAAAAAAAAAAGAGATGGACAGCCCCCCCACACCCACAGCTTTACAAAACAGGGTTTCGTTTTGTTTTCTTTTCCTTTTTTCCAAGGTATCGAGGGAAGTAAGGTGGATGGGAGAAGAAAGGATTGTCATTTAAAACGTTCAGTATTTCATTGCATTAGTTATATTGAAGATGTTAAAGTGGATGAGCAGACCTGCCAAATTAACCTTCTCTTCCTCAATGAATTTTTGACGAAGTCCTAATATGAAGAATCCTAAAAATGGTGCTCCCAGACTCTGCATGCATTGAGATTTGAGCATTGAAAAAAAAAAATCCTTCATGCTACAGATCTGCCGAAGTCAAAGGGGAGTGCCGGGGAGCCCTTTAATATCTTCTACAGATTACAAATCAGAATCCAAACATCAGGCCAAACTTAAGTTTACTTAAATACACCTTTTTTTGCAAAGTCTTGGGAGTATCAAAAAAAGTTTTGGCGTGAAGTGTTTTTTTGTTTTGTTTTTTAACTAATAGTGATACACAAGTAGGAAAAAACCCACATGACTCAGATGACAGATCTATGCAGTTTACAGCAAAATGTTTTGACAAGTAAAATGAAAATAATTAAAGTGGACTGAAACACATACAACTCCATATGTAAGTCTTAGTCATATAAGAACAGAATGAAGAGTTTGAAAGACAGATACACCATCTGAAGAAGTGGGATATTTCTAAGACAACATTTGGAAAGAGCTATCCCACTAAACTTCCTATATTTCACTAACCAATGCAAAAACTTCAACCAGAGGGCTGTAGGGCTAAAACTAGAGTTGCTACAATCATAGCAAAAATGTTATGACCGTTTAATAGAAGTAGGCAATTACTTTGTTTATGCTGATGTAAACTTTTTAGTATGTATATTAGGTTATTGTTTTATTTAAATTCACTCAAATATGAGCATCTTTTAAGTAGAAACACTAAAGATAACTCTTGTTTTAAAGAGAAAAATGTTGTAATATTAAATCTTGAAAATATGTAAGGTTATAGAAACCAGTATCGTAGTCACAAATTTTTTCTCTGGTAACAGGACCTGCGGAAGTAGATTTTAGATTGTTCCAATAATTCAGCTCGTGCTTTTACTGAGAATACACCAATTCAAAAAATGAAAAAAAGAAAATAAAATCAATTAAGGGGAGAGGAAGGCAACAGAAGAACATTCTATAGATGGCAGCATCTCTGAATAGTTATTTAAAAAAAAAAGAGGATACAGAAGGATACATACTTCACGTTACATTGAACTTCTTGTAGTTGTCAACTACATTAAACAAAAGATTACACACTTATGTCAAAAAAGCTCTTTCACTTCAGTGTTTGATTCCTCCGGGAAGAAGGGAGGGAGAGAAAGGAGGCATGGGGAGAAGAGGGAATTAAGCGTTAACTTACAAGTTATGCTGTCCTTTCCCCCTGTGTAATAATTAAATATTAAAGTCACAGTCTAGCAAATGCAAAATTTATTTCAACTGTACATAACAGATGTCCTTTTTATATAAAACAAAACACTTAATTGATATATGCAACCACAAACAATATGCATACTGTACAGTACAATGCAACATTCAGATATACATCCATTTTGTATTTTCAAAAGGCAGTCACCTACTAAAGATGGCTTCTCCCATTCACAAATGAAGTGCACAATATATATTTTTTTTTCCTATGTTTTACGCCACTATATACACATTACTGTGTTTTGGCAAGATTATGCAAAACACCCAATTAATATTGGTTGGTTTCAATTTATGGCAAATACTAATTTATGGAAACACTGCGTAAGCCATGTGAAGAGGGGCTGACAATGGCTTGAACCTACCTTCTAATTCAGATTCTCCATCCTTCCAGTGTATTTGTAACTGTACACATATAATTTACAGAATTGCATAAACATAAGGTACTATTATTACCATGACTAAAGTTCCACAAAAATAGAAACACTGAACCTTTGGACGGAATACCACCATTTCCACATTTGCTTTTTTTCTTTTTTAAGCATGTTGCATTAATACTCCTGATCAGTTCACAATAGCTTATGGCCTGTAACACTGAAGACATGGAATGATTTTAAATGTGCGGTGACATTAATATGAGAGCTCCTAATTATGATAACAGCTAATTACTTAAATGCTACAATAATTAATGGTGGTAAACTGTCAAAGCTTTGGTGCATAGAAAGTCAATAAAATCTTCAGATCTGGATAACAAAACATTCTGTGTGATAAGGAAAGTTCAAGTGCAACAACTGTATTTCAAACTCATATTTACACTATATAACATGAAACAGACATAAAGGAATTATCATTTATCCAATGCAGAAAACATTATTCAACTAGAACACCACAGCTTAAGAAACAGGAAAAAAACGATCCATACTTTCCATATATGTTAAAAAAACAAAAACTGACTGAAAGGAAGAGGGGAGTGAAGTGGGTTACAAATGCGCTGTGGAATGGTATGGAGCACACGTACTTATCTCATTTCTCTAAGCAACACTCCTCCACTTTGAAAAAAGTTCAATATACACAAGTTCCTGGTCATTACGTTAATATAAGACTACTAGTAAAATGTACCCCTGAAAACCCTCCTCGGTAAGCACTGCTGCTTTTGTTAGTCACATTTTTGAATGCCAGTAACAGTGAGAGACGATAAAGCAGATGATCAAAAAAGACTGAATGCAAATCTGCAGATGTGAACTGCTTTGAAATAGCTTCTCCACGCTGACCACCTTCTGGAATCATGCACATCTAGCAATTACTAACTTTCTGATCATGTAACCTGCAGAAAGGTATTGATTATCTTTTAAACAGTGTGATGAAGTTCCCAGGCGGCAGTTAATTGCATCATGATTATTCTGAACATGTTCATAGAGTAATACCTGAATGCTGGATAACATGCTTACTTGAAAAGGGGTAAGGGAATTGCATCTGGGGACCCTGCTGAAAATGAGAACTGCTTCTGTCCTTTCATCACATGCTTTTACTAATGCTAACGAGATTTAGAAAACATGTCATTTTTGTTTTGATGCCAATTACATTATCCACAAGACAGAACACACACACACTTCACCCCAGCAGTGCCCCAGGTGCAGGTTCTAGACCTTCAGCTGTGCACAGCATGTCACAGTTCTCTGAAAAGCCAACACGACTGTAAGTGAAGAGTTGTTGCTGAAAACAAACCTGCTTGTGAGAGAAGTTACAAGACACAATAAAATCTGTCACGGACATGCTCCAAACAGTACAACCCAAAAGCCAAGCATTCTATTATTCAGAACTTCAAACAAGCCAATGTGATCGCAGTTGTACCTAGAGTTTCAGATGCTGAACACTCGAGCCTCCATCAGAGGAACCATTTTCACCTCGTCTTTTCAAGAAGAATGGTCAATTCAGAGTTGTCAGCTGTGTATTTTAACAGGCAAGTAAACATCTAGACCCTGCTTTCTGCCACACTACTGCATACAGTAAAGTGACAGTATGACCATAGGTAACATGAGATTATCAAAACACTGCATGTAATGAGCATGGACTGCCAGGTTTTCATGACAACTGCCAGACTGGGGTGGGGGGAGAGCAGTGCGGTCCTTTGTATAAATGTCTAAGCAATGAGAAAAAGACAGCAGTATAAAAACAGAAATTTTTATGGATTAGCAAATGCTCTTCCAAACAAATGGGCCAGATACGTGAATATCTGAATGATTTTTACAGCTTTTGTACTGCTTATTTTTAAGCTGCACTTTTCTTACTCTACCACCTTTGCATTTTGTTAGTAATATGTAGAAAATCCAACCGCTACCGCTAAGGTATTTCCATATTGCTGGCACTCAGCTCACAAACCATTACGGTTTCAGTACAAAATACAAAAATGTGCTGTATCCAAAATAAAAAAAAAGAGAAGAAAAAAGGACCTGTTGCTACACTGACCAAGTCAAAAGAAAAAAACAACAAACAACATTCAGAGCTACAAATTAACATCTGTCAGTTAAAAAAAAAAAACCCTCAAGAAATATCATCCTTAACAGGATATACACTTTTTAGAATGACTTATTTGTACGTGTATTGAATTGGCAGTAGAGCCTTCCACCAGGTATAACTGAAGTTTCAGAAGCTCCCTCAGAAGTTGTTAAAATATCACATTAAAGAGACAAGGAACAGCAAGAAAACATCTAAGAAAAGCAGGCTGTGATACAACAAGCATTTGTTAAGAAAAAGCTCAGAAGTGCATTAGTTCTGGTGAGAGATATATGAGCAACAGCTCTTACGAGATGTAGACCCCATTCTGTAACTATGGGCTGTCCATATACTGTCATAGTCAGAGTCTTCTGAGAGGTCTGAAGGCTCCAAACGAGAAAGACTACTGCGACGACCCAAGGAGTCTAGACTTGATTGGTCATCATCAGCCAAGACGTGATTATGCATCAGGTCAGTGCCTTGCCATGCTAAGGATGTATAGGTGAAATGAAATGGTGGATGTGGATAGGCAGAGGTGGGATGAGGAGGAGAACGTAAGGAATAGCCACAACCAAACACATGAAATAAAAGCAAAAAGGTGATGGGAAGAGAAGGAAAAGAGAAAATATTGTTAAAAAGGCACCAAAGTGGTTGTTTTTTTTCTTTTTTTTTTATTTGTTTGGGGTTTAGGTATAAATTACACTCAGCATGTAATAACGTTTGAACTATTACCATACAATTTTGGAGTGTTTTTTAAGCTTCTAAGCGGCCTCAGTTGAGAATTTTGAATAACCAAAATCTTGTTTGAAAGTAGATTTTTTGGAAGAGGGAGTTAGGTTCTTTTGAAGTATGGAGTCAGTTCTGGTCTGCGGGGATTTGACTGGGGACAGAGCAATAAACACAGTACGCCAGCACGATCCAGCACTGATATGAAAAGCAACAGCCCCTTCCCCACCACACATCTGTACCTCCATCCTTTCCCTCCCTTGCAATGACACAGTCATTTCTACAGCTGCTTGGTGAGACAGGTCAGGGAACAGTTTCAGATGAAAACTAACCCTACAAAAGATTCTTTTTCAAGCAGGTAGTTTCCCCACCAGCTCACAACACAGCCACAGAAGTGCTTGTGTCACCACTGCAAAGAGGAAAATGCAGGGGGAAAAAGCAAAGGTTCTCATGCAGAGCAGGGCTGCTGACCTTCTAAATCAGCAGCAGCATCTTGCACCCACTCAAGGGGACTGCCAAAGTACAGCTTTTCTGTGCCCGTACCCCTGGTTATTTGTTTAACCATGTAGTAAATTAACTCACAGAATAACAGGGCCAAGAGCCTAACAGCAACAGTCTGGTCCATTCCAACCCCTCACACACCTCTTCCTATACGCCTCTATCTGAATCTGTCTTCCCAATTAAATACTTTCAGATGTCTAGGGTAGTTTGTCAAACAGCTAAGGACAATTTCTCTTTTTTTTTTTTTTTTTAAGGCCCAGCAATATCCAAGGACTAAAACCATGTAAGCGGCCATGCTATAAGCCACCATACACACGATATTGCAAAAGATTTTAAGCCTTCATTTGGAGCAGAAATGCAAAATAAAGTCCATATATAAGCAGCAGGAGAAAGTGAAACTCTGTTCTTTTATTTGCATGTCTCCCCAAATTAAAGCCCCCATCCTCCCCACCCAAACAACTGAAAGAAGTTGCTCTGCTACCTTTAATGCCACTCCCTACCAGTTCGCACTGGTGCCATAGCTCTGCTGAATTGACATTGCCAAAAGCAGCACCCCTTGGGCTTTGGATTAAGGTGCCGGAAGGAGAATTGCCAAGTGAATGCTGTGAGGGACAGGCAGAATATTAACAGGGAGGTAAGAAAGGAGGATGTGAAAAAGGGGCATACTTCACAGGTGACAGGCAACTCTTTCATTCTATTCTTCTACACTGACTACTGCTCCCACAGAAGCAATTCCAGCATGATTGGGTTTTTTCCCCCACTTCCAATTCCAGTCTACAAATGGCTCTTCTGAAACCTAAAGTCTTAGATGACAATGCTATTCTTTCCAAACAAAGCAGCCATGTGCTTAATCAATAAAAAGATTATTTCTTGCTGCAATTAAGAGCAAATAAAAGCTGCTGACTTCTGATGTATGCAATGATACCCACAGCACTATGTATATTTCTTAAATATACATAGAAAGGAAAAAAATAGGCAAAAAAGCAAAACAAAAATCATATCCATTTTATATCTGCGCGCACACACTACTGTGCAAGTGCAAATGTTTCCCCAACCATTTCTTGTCACATTATCCTTGGAAATAATCAACAGATCAGTCAAGACATTTAAACAGCAATCATCTCATTTAATTTTGTTTGGAACAACAGCATATCTTCAGAATTCTGAACACATTTGTTTCCTTTTATCCAATTAAACACACTACTGTTATGACTATAGGGCTATAAAACAGATTAATATTAATAAAAAATTATGTAATAGTATTAATTTATGAAATTGACAATTTTATCACCTTGGAGACCTACAGTTCATCAAGACAGAAAAATTAAAATGAAGGTTTTTGCTGTTACTTCAAAAGTTTCTACAGTCTAATACAAGGGCCATATTCCCATTTTGAAGCACATACAAATACAAAGTAGCTGGATTTTTTCAAGGTGATAATAATAGGCGAACACATGTAGGAAAATCCATGAACTAAGTTTGCAACTGCATTTTAAGACTTCTCAACTGTCAGCATAGAGTGCATTTGCTTGGAAGCAAAACAGGCACAGAGCGCTGTGGGTAGCAGTAACAGTGATTAATATCGCAAATTTAAACAGCTTTAGTGAACAAGGAGTAAGTTATAATGTCCACTCTTCTAGTTCCTGACAAGAGCAAAACCAGACAAGTATCAGTTTCGTTACACTGCATTCCAAGGATCCCCGAATTAAATTGGTATTCAATAGTGCAAAAACTGTGCAAATCGGAACAAACGCAACAGCATTTTCTCCTTTCTTGTAGTAAATGGAACACATGCTGGCGGACTCCCCTGCTTTGCGCAATGGTTTACTTACAATACAGAGGAACTCCACATGGCAACCTTGATTTGGATTAAATGAAGTAGGACCCCAGAGGCACGTTACAGGTTTTCAATAAGCTAGGTATTGATCTGAGAAACTAAAAATGGCTTTAAGCAACACACAGATCTGAGAACAATTTCTCCTGAAATTGTGAGATGGGATTAAAATTTGTAATTCGTACTAAAAACAACTAGTGCCAATAAAAGAAAAGAAATTTTTATAGGTCTAGGTTACTTTTCCATAGCGGAAGTCTTTGCTGAACAGAACAATACAAAAAGTACATGACTTGCTCCAAAATTATGACTTGCTCTTCATTCCTCCTCACTACTTACCAGCTTCTTGAAATTTATCAAAAAGCATACTGATCAACTGTCATAGTCAGTTCAGACACCTCTCATTCATTGGCGAAGGTTTTGTGTAATTTTAAACCGTGACAAGTAGTCACTTTTGCTTTGGTTTTTTTTTGGGTCAGTTGCTGTTTTTTTTTTTTTTAAATACTAAAAGAATTATAGTCTCTAACCATGGACCTTGGCGCCCAATACTTAAACACTCAGCACTGATATTAAGCCAGAAACAGGTTATTATTTCTTCCAGGTCCAGCTTGCTACTTGCAAAGACACCTCTCTCTCTTTGCAAGCTGTCTGATTTGTGGTTTAGTTAGCCATTTCAGTATTTTCTAACTTACTTGAATTTAGTGTTTGACGTGTTTTGGCACTTGTGCAATATGCTTCAATGACTTTAAGAATCTGAGCATCTTCTTCTAAAGCAGCTGTACCTAGAATCAATGGGAAAAATATATTTTTAAACATGGTTATGTTTCTGAACACAGAAAAGCCTTTGTAAATCACTACGTTTCAGTTGAGACCAAAGTTCAGCCTAATCAACCCTTTAAAATTCTCTGAATCATCCCATTTTAAAAATCAAGCTTCAATGAGCAAAAGCAACAGTTTAAAAAGACAAAATACTATATTGAAATGCTTGGAAAAAAACCCAAGTCAGAGTAATTATCCGCACATTCAAGAAATTTTCTAAGCATCTTAAGTTGCACAGAACATGTTTTGAAGTGTGATCACTTTGGTTCTAAACCAAACAGCCATTAAACCGAAAAAACCTGTATACCCCAGTTATTATATACATGTTATTTCATTGTTTAAACAAAGTAATCAAGGAACAGAATATTAATTCAGAGAAATCTTGAAAACTTTTGGGTTTTGTATCTATATCCCATTTACCCCTTTTAACAGCACTATTGAAAATTAAACTCAGAATTAACATAATAATAAATGTCAGTACAACTTCAGCCCAGTGTGCAGTTGGAAAGATGTCACTATCACAAAGTGTATCTGTGAAAAGTGGAGTAATTGAACTTCTCAGACTTTAAAGTAGAAACAGCACTACTGAAAAAAAGAATCTAACTATTCAAGATTAACATGGCAAAATTTTCCTAAAGGTAGAGCTCCACAGCAAATCATCTCCTTGGGGAATTCAGTAAAAATGCTGTCAAATTGTTCGCTTGCAACAGAGTGAAATTCCAGTCAAACTGAAATCTAGAGGTACCTCTACCATTAGTTTAGATGGAACCAGGAGTCTAAATGTAGGGCAAGATGATCTGTTGTTTTAAAAGCATTTTTCCTTTTTTCCTCCCTGCAAAGCTTGAGGAAAAAACCTAGTCTCAAAGATTTTCTGCTGCATGAATCTGAACTGCCTTCAACATCAAAAGGTAGTAGTATTCTCTGTCAGCCAATGCATCCTGTTAGTTTTTGTGATTTATTATTACCAGAACAAAGCCAACTGTACAAACATTTGTCAGGATCAGCTGACAAGCTAACTGTTGAAGAAAGTATCTTGACCCGATATAGTTTCCCCACAGTTTAAGAGATGCAGGTACTCCAAAGTACAGGTTATTTCTCTTTCAAGGCAGGAAAAATAACAGGATTTCGTTGTGGTTAGAATGCAGCACTATATTATTACAGTAGCAGGACAATATTTCACTTCTGAAATGAGTATTGTGAGGACACTCAGTTGAAATACCTTACTTATTTTGGTTTGTCTGTTATAATGCTGATTTGACATAGTAGCAGTTCTCAAAACATAGCCCGTAAATCCCTGGGATTCCAGAGAAGATAAGTAATAAAACCCAAACTTAAGCTTTAAGTTCAATAGAAGTTCCTTGGTGGAAAACTTTTACAGCTCCACAAGCTGGAAAAGGTTTAAGGAGCACTAACATGTAACAGAAGCTTCCAATTACTGACAGAAGGCGGGGGGGGCAGGGAATGAATACCAAGAATCAGTATTTCTGTAAGTAACACTCTGACTTAAAGCCACCAAAAATCCCTTTTATTGAAAGTTATCTCCTACATACAAAATACTGAAAGGTGTTAATTTAATCAGCAATAAAGCAATGTATTTGCAAGCTATAGAGCCCCTCCTTCCCCCCCCAAATAACTCCTCTTCTCTCACTAAGTGTTCTTTAATAATTTCTAAATCTGCAAGTTGACAGCTTTACCACTGTCATTACAACTACTGAATCTCGATCCTCCAACATCTGAAATGATACTGTATTGCCATAATTTCATTTTTCCTAGACAGATACCTTCCTGTAAGGACATAAAACATCCTGAACTAAAATATCCACTTGCACACCCACAAACACAGGATTGTTCTATTCGCTACCTTAACCTTTGCCATACGAAATTCACACCAGACTCAGAAGGACCTCTACCTTCGACAAACCAACAATGCCCTGAGGAAAAGCTTTTTCTCTCCAACCCTACATAAACCAGTGAGAGACAATGTTCATGATAACACACTTCATGCATTAAACACTCAAGGCACAGTCTCCATCTTAAAAAGCCCATGAGCACAGGACAGACACAGAGAAGCAGAAGTTGCAGTAAAAGAATCTGTCCTTCATATTAAATACCCTGTCTTTTATTGATAAAAGTAATTGGATTATTCATTCACATGAATTTATAAGGAAAAATTAGAGTGACACTGACAACTAAATGAATCTTGTGTTTGCTTGATAACATTAATGTTCCCTCCACCGCAAATTACCCCAACATCCAGATTTTGACCCTTCTGTTTTTCTATACATTCATCAATCTCTCTTGGTTCAGTGCTGTTCTTCAGACTTCAAGCAGTCTAAAGCTCTGCAATTTATCCAGACACAGACACTAGCAAATGACCTTATTTCTGGGAGATTAGAGCAGACTGTTGGATCTTAGAAAGAACGACCGTGGAAGCAACTAGTCTTCGAACCAGCAGAAATTCCCAGCTTTCCAACACCCAGCCCAGCAGAAGCTCCTACCAGGATCGATTTAAGAACATAGCTACTAAGTATTCTGCAAAAGTGGCATAGCATCTTCAAATTGCTGTTTACAGTATTAAAAGACAGGTTTACCATACTGAACTTTACAAGGCTCTATAGTCAACCTCACTTCCCTCTCTAGCGAACAGATAGAAAAAGGCACTTCACAAGCATACATCCACTGTAGTCAGTAGTAAGACTCTAGAAAGCAACTAATCCCATTGTGACAGAAGCACCTAAGATGAATAAAACAAACCATCCTCTGGAGATACCTACCCCCTCTCCCCTGACAAGAGAGAGGAAACCAGACGACTTGCTTACACTGTACATCTAACTTTCACAGAATTTAATTCTGTGATGTTAATTCCAGCCTTTGTATTATGCAGACATTTGTTCAAGTCTCTCTTACTTTTTCTCAGTGCAAACTCTTCGTCTGATGGCTTCCGTTCTGGCTTGCGTTTGGGAAGCAGCTTTTTCATGGTTTTAGGGCTTTTACTGAGATCCTGTGCGGGGAAAATAAAAATAAAAAGAGTAGAGCTTCTCCACAATATTTCAAAAGTTCGACTTCTAAGGTGTATACAGGAGTTACTAACTAAAAATCCTTTAACAGCACCAAAACTCAGTTTATTAATATTTTTTGGCACATCCGATTTGCCTGAACTGGCTGATTTCCTCTCTACCCTTCCTCCAACTATACACAAAGCCAGATATTTTATCTGTTCTATTAACAGAAATATACAGAACAGTTGCTGCAAAAGCATGCAGGCTGTTTGGGAGCTAGAGCGAAGGGAAGAGGCAGGCATACAATAACACAGTTTTTTTTTCCTTAACTTTTGAAGAGACAACCCATTTCACTTGTCTACTTAGAAGCAGGTAAAAAAAGGTCCTAACAAGGAAGCTTTGGCAGGTAGTATACTCTTCAAAGCCAGAATTTGTAAATGTTTAGGTCTGTTCTTACAAAGCTCTACAGCAAAAAAAAAAAGTACAGCAACAAATAAGCATTTCTGCTCAAAACGTGGTCATGCTAATTTACAGGAACAATGACAGGTTACAGGAACAAAAGGAATATACTGGTCTACCCCTTACCTTAAGGATACAAGACATCCTCTATAAAAATACAGAACAAGAAAGTAAAAAGGTGAATGAGCAGGACAGACCAAAGAAGATGAAGATAGGTTTTGAACATCATTGTACGCTAAACACTGCAAAGATGATTGAAATTTTACCACATTGGAGAATTTAGTGCCCTACACATGAAAACATGAAAGGAATTTAACTTAAATTACAAAATGAGCATATAGTACAGCCAAACAGAAAAACCTCTTGTAGCAACTAAGCCTAAATACTAACCTTCCAATTGCAGATCACCTATCAGTTTTTCCCTGTTGTTTAGGGGATTTACAAAAGAAAAGAAAAAAAAGTCACACACACAGAGCCACCACAAAAAAAACCCAAACCACAGCCAGGCCACACTGGGGCACAGTGTTTAGGCTACAGTTTCTAGGAAACTGCAATTTACATGTCTGCAAAATAAAATTTTTCTGTCAGCATCTAATGCTTGCAGAATAAAATGTTCTTGGGCATAACTGCATGATTCTTTCTGGGCCCTGTTGCTTCACACTAAATTAGTATCATGAGAACGACGTGACAAAGATACTGAAACAGGAGATATCACCAAGTCACAGAACATCCAGTATTCTCCTCCTTACATATACGCAGACTTCCAACACAAATCTAACATTTTCTTACTATTTACAAAACCATACAAAATGTAGTGGCAGGACCAAATTAACCTACAGCCACCATCTTTTTGTGGTTAAAACCACCACATTTTATTTCTCTTGGAACAGATTCCTGTTTCATACAACAGCATCTTAAAGTCTAAGCTTTTTTTTTTTTTTTGCTAACAGTAACATTAGCCATCAGATTCTTTTGAGTACAAAAACATTATGTATATTTTGACAGTTACCATTTTTTTTTATTTTTTAAATATGCTACTGTTACCTAGTCACAGTGGTAAATACTGAGGAACCAAGAGCCAATTATACCACCACAGCTGTTTAGAATGATTTGATACAGCACTTGGAAGCACCATAAGATCCCTTACCCTAGATACTTTGCAGTGTGCTTAGCAAATAACTTACTTTGCAATAAGCCTGGATGATCAACGTAAGAAAGGTATTGCTAGTTTGAAATAAATAATAATAATAATAATAATAATAATAATAATGCTTAGAAAATAACTTACTTTGCAATAAGCCTGGATGATCAACGTAAGAAAGGTATTGCTAGTTTGAAATAATAATAATAATAATAATAAATAATAATAATAATATCATCATCATCTTATTAACTGTATAAACAGTGGAAATAAGTGGAAGCACTTGGGGGAGGCGGGGGAAGCCTCTCCTAACAAGCCTTAGTATTTTCTGAGCTGCAAGACTAAATCCCTGCTTGAAATAAACAGCATTCACTAGTCTATTACCACTGATTCAGTATTGGCTGTTAAATCATCTTTATATAAAAACATGCACAACACTGTAAAATGGTGGTGTATAAAAAAGAAAGTTAAACTTCTCATTGTAGGCCTGCTACACAGTCGTATTTCTTGGCTGCTGCCTCTCACCTCTTTATAACAAAGAGCTGCTGAAGGCCGTAATGGAGGTGCGGGCCGTAAGCAGCTCAGGCTCCAAGGCTTGGGGGTTTTTGGAGGTTCCAGAGGTCCCCAGTTTATCGTGGTATGTGGAGTCCCATGATGTGATGGATGAGGGAGAGTGTGGTACGCAGGAGTCAGTGGTATTGGCTTGCTGTCTGAATGCTTGCTGGAGGGTGTTACTGGATGGGAAGGAAGCTGTCGAAGACACAAAGGCGATGGGAAGGAAAAGAAAGCATATTATCGTAATAAAGACCTAATATCATCAAGGATTGGTGAAATAATCTCATTCGCTATCTAGTGCTTCTGTTTATTACAGCTGGCCTTTAAAATTTTGACACTAAACTATTATTTGGAAAAATGGAGTGTAAAGAAATTTTTACTGTTTACCACAGACAGAGCACACGCTAAAGAAAACAGCTATGAGCAGCCCTGCTCCCCCACTTCTCTCACCACTAAGAATGGAGCTAAATTTAGCTCCATTCATATCCAACAACTCAAATGCAGAACCCAAAAGAAGATACTTAAGGAAGTTGTTTCTCCACAGTCTGTCAAATATATCACCAATTAAAACCTACTGTTCTAAGGATACTTAAGAGATGATGACATATTACTTGGTCAAAACAGAAAAAGTAATCATAATGAATTTTCTTTTACCCCGTTAAACTATTACACCAAGATCTAAGCATTTTATTCTTTGTTCACACAATTAAAAACAGAATGATCTTTTGACCTATTAAACTACAGTCATAACATTCAGTTCTTGTTACTAATGGCTAAAAAAATGCTTTACACTGTAGTGTATTTCCCAGATAACCTAATTCTGCATACACTGATCATTCACTTCAATCCAGAAGCTATTTATTACCGTGTGAGATGGCACAGAGTGAGGTTTAATGGTGGGATTCCCAACAGTCGTGACTTTGGTTTGCTTCTGCAGGTGATCCACCCATTCATGCAAATCTTGTTGGTTGTTACAAGACACTAGTATCCTTTCAATCATATTTCCTAGGTGACAGAAAACAGAAGATGTAGGAAACTGCAGAAAAACTTACTCAATCTGACATGATTATAAAGACATTCATTTCCTGAAACATTATATTCCCTAAGTACTAAGCAAAAATTTTAACCTCTATTTTCAGTACAGCAGCATCTCACTTTTCCAGGTTGTAACAGACATTTCCTCAATGTATTTGTTCCTGTGCCAAGCATAGGAGTTCTACCTTTTTTCCCCCACCTCTAGTAATTAAACACAGCCTTTAATGATAAGAAATAGATGTAGGAGACAGGGTCATCTAGCAGCCTTACGCTTCGCCATCTTCCACAGGAAAGCCAGCACATAGCCTAAAATGTCATTCTTGAGCCTATAAGCTACAATATAGGAAAAGTTATAAAATACAGTTCACTGATCTTCTCTCAGAAAAAGGCATAAAGTTGGTCTGAACCTAGTACTAAAGCTCAGGCAAAAGTTACTTGGGAAAGCAATCTTAACCAAAGATTACTTTAATTTCTGCAGTTAACTCCATTTTAACCCATCACATTCCTCATCTGAGGTCAGCTGCATAGCTATTATCTCAGAAGAACAAGCACCATCAACAGCTTTTTCCCTCTGCCTCATAGCACCGATGTGTGATACTGCCTGCCACTTGAGAGGGTCAAAATTACTTAAATGCAGCCTGCTTGGAGTAGGAATTGATCCAGGAAATGAATGAAGGTATGAAGCTCCACCATGGGGACGCTGCTCCCACCGTCCTTTAAATCCCCCAAGGAAATAAGGTACATGCTGAAACAAATGACTTAACAGACAGAAATTGCCCAAAGTAAGCACAACAGCAACCATCATTAGCAGAGATGCTAAAGGTCTCTCAGGAAAGAGGTCAACCCATTTCTAGAAGAAAGCTTTTGCTTAAAGCTCTTCCAGAATCTCTGGAATTTCTTTTCTTCCGGTGAGTAGCATACTTTGAACTGCTTCGTTATAAAGCACCTTCTCCAAGGCTACTGCCTCCATTCATTACAATAAAGAAATTTGGGGATGAATCCCATGCAAAGACAGTTTAGCTACTTAAGACAAGCAGTAAAAAGCAGCTTTCAAGTGAGGCTCTGGGTAGCTGCCTTACAAAATTTGTATAATCACAGGATGGTTGAGGCTGGAAGGGACCTCTGTAGGTCATCCACCCCCCTCTGCTCAAGCACAGACACCTAGACCCAGTTGCCCGGGACCATGGCCAGACAGCTTTTGAGTATCTCCAAGGATGGAGATCTCTCCAGGCAACCTGTGCTAGTGCTTGGTCACCCCCACAATGAGAAAGTTTCTCCCTCTGTTCAGACAGAACATTTGATGTTTGAAATTGCATATCCTGGAGTAAGTAGTAAATAAAAATATTTATGGTCAATACCTGATATTTCAAATGCATTTTTATGGTTTTCACTGTCTTCTAGCTTTGTGATAGTCATTCCTGTCATTGGCAGTTTTCCCTTAAAAAAAAAAAAGGCAGTGACACTGAGGTTAAATCCAAAACACACAAAAACATTACCAAGTAAAGAATATATAAACTTCAAGCTCTGAACAAAGACATACACAGTAAATTGGCAAACGCACACACACTGATGGGTTTAAAAACATTTAAAAATCCACACAAACACCTCATAATGGAAGTTTTTAATATGCTGAACTTCTGCAAATGACACCTGTGACTTCAATGAGTCTATTTGATACCTATGCAGGCTATGAAATCCATACAAATGTCATAGTGGTCACTCATCATAGCCTCAGGTTCCTGGAATCAAGACCTTCAGGGTCATCCATATTACATGATTAGAGGCAATGGTGACTCATATTTAAGCACATTTGTTTGCAAATGGTTTGATTAGCTCTCAAAATAAGGTTTGTGGTACAAGTAGATTTAGAAAGGAAGATTTCACTGAACAAATGCATCAATTATTTACTGAAGATTTATGTCTCTAATAACGCCACTACCAAATTCACTCACAGAAGTATTTGAGGAAAGAAAAGCAGTAAAAATACCTTTAAATTTGTAAAGTTTCAGAAGAACGTATTAATTTTGCAGAAGATAACGTCTCATTTTAAACCCAGTCAAGCTGGGGAAAAAAAAAGTCAGTTTAGGATAACTTTCTGACCCTTTAGAAACACAGAAGAATAAATAAGACTGAGTATTGTCAGGATGAAAGGGTTTACCAAAAATGCAACTTTAATAATAAATTCTTTAAGACAGATCCTGTATTCTCCTGCACAGAAACACTATTCAGCACATGCTGGCAAAAGTGCAAGTACTACGTACTGTGGAATTTTGGCTCCATTGAAGGGAAAAAACCCCCACAACTGTTTTGGTTTTTTTTTTTTTTTCTTTCTTTCTTCCTTTTTCTTTCCTAATGACTGCAGAATGGACAAAGGTTTCTTAGAAGCTTGGAAACTAAAAATTACTTGATATTCTGTATGCACAGAGCATGCTCAAGCCCAAGATGCCAAAGAGAAAGGAAGAGGTTTTTTGCAACAGCTTCCCCACTGAAGGAAACATGGTGGCATCGTGCACTACAATGCAGCCTAAAACACTCTCTCCTGTTTTTCCGTGTTTGCTGGTTCATGAATAACACAGCATACAGCCACAATGAAAGAGAGCTGCAAGAACTGCTGACACGGGTGAAGAGGGAATATGGGAATACACCAAGCACTATGTTCTCTCTGGTGACAGAGAACAAAGATCACCTGAGCTACATGCAGAGAAGAAGTACTAAGTCAGCAAAACACAAGAGAAAATGGAACTGAACTCATGAATCATTTATATTCCCTTTCTTTCAACAAAATTGTGAAGCCATCTTGTAACGTATGGTTTGTGCCCCTTGTAACTTCAGTTTACCACTGCTGAAGTTCTCCCAATTAGCTCATGCAGCAGATATCAGCAGCCTCAGCCAGAACATCTGAAGCCTACTGATAACTGGAACATTCAGAAATACAGGGACGGTGTCATGTAGGATGCTGACTCCAGTGGCATAGTTTCCCTGGGAATGACTGCGGGAGCTGCATCATCTTTTGCCCGTATCCGTCCCAGTTCTGAGACAAGAACCTTAGAAGAAAAGTCCAAGCGGTCCATATTATGCAATCCAGACACAAACAGTGATGAAATAATTTTGCCTTGCTGTGAATATGCAGTCATTAATATTTGAGAAGTTCTCACTGTTGGGAAAAATCACGTGAGAAGTTATGAGGAAATTAAGTTTTGCATTCAACAGAGGGTTGGACGGCAAACACTAAGAAAGGGTTGTGGCCATACTGAGCAGAAGCTGAAGACAAATGCACAGAAAATTGCTTATTTACTGAACAACGCTGTGCACCTGGGGGACAAGGTGGGAGAGAGGAGGAAGAAATGTGATGTACAAAAGGAGAGCAAAATTAAGCCTGACAGATTCATTGTTTAATATTCTTTGTTTGTTAATACACTAAATTTCCAGTCAGTTGTCTTTGTAACCAGCACAGAAATATCTTCCTTCGTCAAGAATTCTGGACGTGCCACTGGAGATACAGAGCTCACCTGCCTTTTCCAATATCTTTTTTCCATCCATGTTGGGATAAAGCACTGGCCAAAAATTCTGAAGAGCAGCACAAAGCTAAGAGAAACTTGATTGTGTGTTTGAACTATGTAATGCAACACAGTCTCAGACAAATCCAGCTACTACCATGGCAGGTAAGATATGAATCCAAACATGAATTTTGTAATTTACTTGCCCTTAAAAAAGTCACACGGTCTGTGACTGGATGTAGCTGATCACATAGGAACCTGGAATGACTATGCTTCAGCATTCCTTCACAGCAGGCAAATCACTGCTCAGGAGAAAGGAACAAACTGCTCGAGAGGCTAATTTACAGAAATACTTACAGCAGGTGAAATCTCAGGCTCCTTTTAGAACTTTTGGTGTTTTATTGTGATGTCTGGAAACCACATAACAATATCTGAAGAACATTTATAAAGATTTCAGAAACTCATGCACTGTGCATTTGCTTTAACTTCACCTCTCAGGGGTCTATGGAACTACACACCCAAAATGCAAGTGCTTCTGCAAAACGTGTCCTAGAGCTACTGGGGAGCCAACCCAATCGGCACCGATCCTCCTGCACTATAGCAGAGTTGCTCTATTTCTGTAGTGGGCAAACAGGCAAGAAGTCTTCAGCTGGGAAACTTGCTAGAGAGCTCGAAGACAAATGTCTACCAGCAGCAAGTAGTGCATTTGTGAAACACGTGGTGCTAAGGACCTGAAGGCCCCATGATATGCATTTCAGGTGGTGTTACAATGAGCCAGCTCTGGGCTGGGGCCACGGACTGAATGCCAATCCATGTACTTCATCTGCTCCAGTAGTTGAACAAATCAAGTACACTACACTTTTGGAGCACGCCTTCCAGTTCAGCTTCATCCAGAGGGAGTCCAGTCTGAGCCCTGAGACTATGTCTACACTGGGACTCAAATAGCAGTAAACAGGGAAAACTAGAAGATTCATTTCAAAAGTGCTCTGCTGATTCAAAGATAAAACACTAATGTAGACACACCTAAAGAAACAGAAGGTAGCACAGCCTAACTCACACCAGTGCAAGCTTAGGAGTGCTGCATAGTTTGGTAAGACTCGAGCAGCAGTCAGAAGAGCACTAACAAACCTGTACAACAGCGTCCTTTTCTTATGTAGGCCTAAAAAGCTACCGATACTTCCTCTCATTAGCTAGTACTAACAAGGTAAAAAAACCCTTGCTGATAGTCACAGCTGCAAAAATCATAGCCAGGCTTCTAGCCCAGAATTTTGTAAAACAGATGACCCATTCCTCTTGCAGAAATTACCTTTTATCTTTATAAATGCAGAAGTTTAATAATCCTTCCAAGTTTTCTATGAAATACCATTTAGAAAAAACCACCCCCCTCAACACATTTATACGCATATGTACAGGGATTACTTTACCTGATAGATAAACCCACTCATTCTCGGGCTGGCAGACAACATTAGCAAAATGTTAGGGAAGAGAAGGAGATACCTTTCATTCTTTTCCTTATCAAAAAAAGAAAATGAAAAAGTAAATACAACATCACAAGCTCCCTCTGCCCTTTTTCTGTTTTATATTATTAAAAACTACCATCAATGTTACAACTCCATAATTACTCCATAAATATTTGCTCCTGGCAAAATTAACTCTCCATAGAATTTTACAAGAGGGGAAAAAAAAAAAAAAAAGAAGAGGTCAGAATTACTTGATTTTCTGTTTGAAAAGTGCTAGTAACACACACCTATACTTCTTCCTGGAGAGTACAGTCTAGTATTTTAAAATAGAAGTTGTACAGTCTGGGTGAAATACTGACCTTGTTTAACATAACAACTGTTTTGCTGATTTCAGCAAAAACCAAAATTACACACCGGATATATTTCTTAATATAATTTGGATGGATGCTGTTATGGTAATGTCAAGACCATGGTGTCTCACATTGGAGAGATCAGATTTTTGCATCATGTTGGATTATGCCCCAATGTAGGAAAAAAACCCACCAAAACCAAATATATCCATTGACAAAGCCACCGTCTCAATTTCAAGCATCTTTGCAAAACAGTACTTGTCTTTACCAAGTTTTAGTGTTTCTATCTGGTTTTCAGTAAAGCTTTATGTATGTCAATATGATTTTAAAAAAGACAAAACCAAAACCAATTGCTTTTGCACAAATGAAGCTGTTCTATATCTAGTCAAAAAGCTGTAATGCTATGCAGAAACTTCTAAAAGTCCATTTTGTTTGACATTTCAGTTCTTGATTGAGGGGGTGATGTGGTGTTTTGTTTTTAAGACTACAAGAAGAGACATGACTGCAGAAGATGCACTATCAGCTCTACTGAATCTTTCTTATTTATTTTAACACCTAACAAAATATTTGAGAGAAAAATATCAGGTGATGAATTCTGAAATATTCACTTGCATAAACACTTTTCTCTTTCTTCATATTTATGGACATCTGTGTTCTAAGCGAGGAAACTGACTGAATGAGGTTGCAATTCAAAAGCCCCCACCAAGTTCAAAGCTTCATTGATTTTACAGGGGAACAACTGACAGTAAAAACATGTCAGTAACCTATGTAACATTTTCTTTCTGTTAGCACTCACTTTTAAGATTATTCTAACATGATTTCTGGTAGGACAACCTTTTTTTGTGTGTTTTGTTTGTCTGTTTTGTTTTAAAAAAAAAAATCACCCCAGACTTTGCAGTGTCATCTTTAACTTTCTAATGTCTCTTCTTATTCTATTTCCCCAAAACCACTTGTTTCTTAAGCTTGTATTTCAAAATTTACTACTTGAGCAAAGTGCCCAAAACAGTGAGGAAAAGTGTGCCTCAGACACCTTCTAATACAAAACTTGAAAGTTTTTGATATTTAAAACATGCCGTAATAACTGCTATGCAAAATGATCCTGTAACATAACTACACATGGAAAATCCTGTTTAATTATGCACTTTGAAAACAGTCCTGCAAAATCATCTTACAATGTTTATAACTGCTATATTTGGTTACATTTCAGTAAATTTTACAAATGAGACCATCCATCTTCAAGGAAATTTATTTCACGTTTTGTAATAAAAGCCTTAAATCAGTAGAGAAAGATTTTAGTCTAGATAGTATCTCTGAAGCATTCTGTTTATTTCTGCTGCACAATGATTGTAATTAATTTTATTCAAAATGGAAAGAAAGACCAACAGTAAAGAAGAGAAGGACATTACCTCACTTCCAGCACACTGAATCATGACCTGGGACATGTAAATCACATTGCCAAGTGTTTTAATATCCTCTCCCTCCCAACAACGGATAGCTTCCGTCAGTATTTGTAGTTCAAGTTCTTTCCGTTTCCGTACTTCTTGACATTGTGCCTAGCAAACACAGGGAAAAATACCATCTCTACCAACTCTATCAATTTGGAGCAGGTTAAGGGTAGAAATACCAGTACAGTTGTATTTACTGTTGTGCTTGTAGCACACAGAAGACAGCACCTAACTTGAAGCATTTTCATTTAGATGACTATTACCAATAATTCTTACAAAACTAGTTTTGCTAACTTCAATATTATTACTTTTCCTTTCAATACACTGACTTCAATTACCATTCCAAATTCACAGTCATAGCTCTGTTTCTCAAATTTCTCCTTTCTTTACATTTTAAATTTTTGTACTTCCAACCAAAAATGGCTAGGCTTAGCAGAAAAGAGTAACACAGCTGTCACACATACATGTAACTATACAACATAGCATCTTTCTTTAGCCGTGCCAATTGTGCAAACTACGAGTGTGTATAACCTTGTGTTCCTGTTTTTATTAAATGCCTCCAACCTACTCTAGTAGCTGTACTCCCGTTCACTTGAATTTTTCTCAATAAGAATTGTTTCCTCTTGTTCGTAAAGCACCCAACAGAATGGGATTCCCCAACCTCTTCTGAACACAGATAACACTAAATTTCTGCTTTAAAAAATAAAAAATAGAAAATGCCAGGTTACCACCAGCACACACGCCTAACAGGAAACACAAAACATTGTTTGTTGTAAATGAGATTGCATTAAACGTACACTTATTGCAGTCGACTTTTTTTTTAAAGACAGTAACAGACAGCTCATCTGTTCAAATTAGACTTCCTACTCCAATTACTACTAGAAATTTCTTATCTTCTGAACTTCACCAGCACTTTCCCCTTCATCCTCTCTCCCGCAACTCCACCACCATCCCCCCTAGAAGGAATGCACTTTAGAAAAACCTCAGAAGATACACTCAATTGTTGTAAAGAAGCCCTTCTTCAGGATACTAGTTATGCTAGCACTAGCAGAAAGGGAGACGAAGCACGAGCGAGAGGGCTGAATGTTTGCGTAGCTCTTACATCAATAGTCTATTTGCTGTAACTCCCCTGCAAATTACCATCTTTAGCTCTGCCCACAAACAGCATCAATTACCAGGCTTTCAAAAATTTCTTATACAAACATTTACAAAAAAGCTTCACTTTTTTAAAGCAACAGGGGGGATGAAATTAGAAAACATTCTACTTAAAATATATCATCTATTTTTTATCACTCTTACAGAAAGATTTTTGAAGGCAGTCATGGATTTTTGAATATCTGGACGATCCGGATGATAATCCTAAAAACAACGGAGAAAACATGCAATAAAAACTTTAGTTCTAGTAAAATTAATAAAAAAATTTTAGAGGCTTAACAAATAAACAATTATGTAAAACAGAAGTTGTAGACCTATCTGCTCTCTTTTCACAGCTGCCTTATTCTTATATCAAACACTGGTGGCTTGTAGTAAAAATGAAGAATCACTTATAACATTCCTACTTATACTTAAAATAGAGCCAAGAAGTTTTATAAGACCTAGTGGGTAAGACATTTTGAAATCCTAATAGGAAAGTGTTTGTTTTAAAGAAGGTTTTTTGGCATGTTAGCTTTGTCACAAACTAGAGTCCTCACAGACTAATACATTCCATTGTTACTGACTGACAAACCAAGTTGTGTGACAAGACAAAGACCCATACACTTTCTATTTCTCTCCCTCCTTCACACTCCAAAACTCTAACCTAAAAAATGCAAAGGCGGAAACAGTAGCTCCTCCAACACCTTCCTATATTGGAACGATCATTTTTGGACAGTGGTCAGTAGAAGTCAAAGGGACTATTTTGGTGACATGTTCGATGCGCTGAGGTCCTAAGATGAGAATCCTCCTACAAGATACAGTAGCCTCAAGTAGTATGCAGGAGACACATTCAATGTCAAGTCAACCAAAGACCCTGCAAGACTGTTCTAGGAGTGAAGATTAGCTTCTCTGGATAGTTTTACTTTAAACTTTCAGCTTTTAAAGGAAGTTTTACTGCACTAAGTTTTAAACCATTGCAGCCCATATTTTAGAAGGCTGACGGAAGAGCAAGCAAATGTAATTTTGGGTCCCATCATGTTTGACATGTACCTTTAAAATAATTGTTGTCAAATCATCATTAAGCTGGAACATAAATGCTGATAAGATATACCTCCATGTGCCTTTCAAGTTCTTTGAGTAACGTGGGGTATTTATCCAGACGCATAAAAGGTTTGCTGAGGCCCGTGGTCAGTACAAGGATCCCAGGGCTGTTGGCACCTTTCATCTCCATGAATTCTCCTAGCTCCTCACTGCGTACACAAGATATTTAAGCAAATTAAGATCAAATTACCAAGACAATTAAAATTACATTGGATTCTTCACTTCAGTCATTCATCCGCAATGAATTCTGCCAATAAAACAAGAGGCCAAATAAATCAAAAAGTAATTCAAGTACAACTTAAGTGCTGTGATCGGTTTCTGCATTAAATAAAATACAGGAACAAAGACATTTGCAGATTTGGGGTCCATCCAGGGAACAACAGACACAGGATCAAATCCACCATGCTAGGCAACTGATGCTCAAAGACAGCTCCTAAATGCTACCCCATCCAAGCAATGATTACAGAATAAAGCCCTTTGCGCTATGCTTTATTACTCAGCTCTTTATTCTAGTAAAATGACATCTGACCTTAGAGGCGGTTTACACAGGTAATACACAAGCATAAATGAGTCAATGGCTTCATATTTAATCAAGCATCAGAATGTTTCAGAACCTTTTTTCCTCCCACACTTACATGTTTAATGACCTCATCTCACACATCCATGGTGTTACTGCGAAATGACCAACTAACCAACAGCCATACAAATGGCAGACCATAGTAGAAATAATTACTGTGCAATCTATTCTCAAACAAGTTAGGGTTTCACTGAGGGTTTACTTACACAACACACTTGTTTTGACAGCAACGCTGCTGTAAGAAATCCATGCTCTCCAAATATCATGAACTGCTACTTCCCCTATCCAGATGTTTTTTTTATATTTGAATCATTTCCAAGAACTGGCCCAGCCCCTCAACTTTTCACATTAACTCAGTTAAAAAGGCAGCGCATCCTGGGAATTTCAGCTCACTTTGCTACCAAGGAAACTTAAAATAGCTACATCTTCTGCTTCCTTATAAAGCAGAGGTTTCAGAGGACTATGGTGGAGGACAAGCTTTTCTAGAGTTTAAATGTTCAGGAACAAAATGAGCCCCCTCGCTAGGGAAAGGACGGAATGGCAACCACTGTGGCTGATTTCCAGGCTTCAGAAAATACAAGTTGCAGAAGAACATGGGATTCTAAAGACAAAATCTAAACAAAGGAAATTCAGAAAGCCACTTATTAAAAAGATAACATCATCTTGCATTCAAGCTGTGTCATTCTAGACGTCTGCAGATGGGGTTGCTCATGTTTTGAGCCCTTGTCATAGTAAATTAACTAGTTCTCAAGTCCCCCCCCCCCAACAAACAACACTATTCTCGTGACAGTCGTGTAAATTCTACTCTAAGATGTCCTGAAAGTCCTTACTTTCTACTGATTAATAGCATTACGCTCCTGTAAATCAGAATTACTACTTAAAATTTTTTTCCCCCTCCTTGGTTATTGGCATAGTCTCATTTTTCAAGAGAAGCCTTAGCCAGCTACAAGATTCAGTACTTTTGGAAAGTATAAAAACAGCGTTAAACACCAAACAGTGATAAAGGAGGAACACTTGTACATTATGGCCACATTAACAAAAAGGGAAGGGCAAAGATCTCCAAACCTAGGTCATAGCGTTTCTATGCAGAAGTGAAAGCAAATCTTGAACTGCTCAGTTTCCCTAGGAAAAAACCAGATAGGACACTGCCATAATACACATGCTCAATTATCAGTGAGTCATGCTATATAAAAGCATTACATAGATTAAGACAAAACAGACCTCCCTACCTCCCCCAAGACACACACGCTCCTTCCCATTTCAGAACAAGTGACATTTTGCTTATGTCATTTGTCCAAATAGATGAAGAGAGCAGAACAAGAACATGAACCGTCACCATTCCACGCGGATCTCTCTCCTCCCAGCTGCTAATGCTTCCCCAAGTTCACCGAAGAGAAGGTACTTTTCCATACAGTTTACTCCAATGTTTACTTGTCTTCAGATTAGTTAATTGATATTTACTTACACTACCATGCTTAAATACATCCAGCACCATTTTCGAGTTGTCAGGTCTGACATAACCTTACACAACCTCTTTTAGAACACTTCACCCCCATCCTAACCAGGCCCAGGCACTCCTCAGTGCATGTATTTGTGCAATTTCTGCTGAACTCAACTGCTGAGTCGAGAAAGCAGGTAAAGGGATTTCCCAGCACCTGCTTTGCATTTTAAAGATGCAAAGAGAAGGGCTGGGCACCCTTGAGAATGCCCACAGCTCCACCAAGCAGACCTTGCTACATCCCTCTCAAGTGACATCTATCAGCAACCCTAAGCCTCCTAAAATCAGCTTGTGACATGATCAGGTTTTAGCCAGAATTAAAACCCACTGAAAAAACCTCCTACAGTACCTTGCATGGAAAAATTATAATAATGCAACACAGATAAACCTGAGTACTTTTCTAGCTTGAATTTAGATTTAACAAGTAAAGCTGGGCAACTCTGAATACCTAGAGCCTGAAGACCCATTTTGCCTTACGCTTTCTTAGTCACAGCCCTTACTCAGCATAAAAATCACACCAACTTCAGAACTTGACAACTGATTCTGGTGGCACCCTAAACAAGACTAAGGATTTTGACTCGTACTTATGCTTTGGTTTTACAATGTTACCAGCTACTTCTTCACTGAGGATTCAGGCTAATTCGCTGGAACACTAAGATGAATGGCTACAGTGTGGTGGCACGTCCTCTTCTCCCGACTCTGCTAAGGGAAGCAGCTGTTTCCAGCAAACGAGGGTATGGTGCCCAGTTTCCACAGAAAGCTTGACCAAAGCTCACCTGTTAAAGCCCATCTGTCTCAAAGCACTCAGTGGTTTTAAATTTCAATTCACTGTGTGTATGACACTGATCATGTGTACGGTACTGCTTTTTTTTGTTTTGTTTCATCCATCAATTCTTCCTGTAAGCACCCCCACCCATGCCAGCATCAAAGTTAGAGTACCTATGGTACTTGATATGTATATTCAAGCAAACATTTAAACTAATTCTTTGCATTTTGTTTGCTTCAGCAGATGCACAGCCCCTGCTGCCTAACTTTATCAACTACTCCCTTTATACATTATCAGCTCTTCCTCCCCATTTCAGGCAGCACAATCCATACCCATGTCTATGCAGCTTCTCTTTTCTCCCCAACACACCAGTACATTCTACAGGACGTGCCAATTGCAAATACCACAGGCCGTTCAATTTAACATTGTTCTGAACAGCACTGCTTTTTGCCTTTAAATTGCAAAGACGCAAAAATCCTCATTCCTAATTATTTCGGCTATCTCCACGCTGCTGGGTGCAGACAAATGCATTATATAAGTGGTATTTGCTGAGCTATCCATTAACACAATGCTTTTTTTTTTTGCCTTTTTTTTTTATTTAATGCCTCTACAGTAGGAGAAACATTGGTTGCCATTTCACCCGCATTCACATTTCTAATTTTCATTATCACTGTTCCATTTCTTCCCAACTTTGGCACTATGAAACAGACGTGCCAGAAAACAGGAAAAAACTCACTGTAGGCTGAATTAAAATCGACTACTTGGAAACCTGATATTATCTTGTTTTCCCTGTCTACTCTGCAGTTCCTTTAACTAAACACAGTGTGGTTACGCAATGTTGCAGCAGTTTCCAGGCCATTCATTGCTCTTCGACACAAGATGCTTGATTGTTTATCACCTCCTTTTTACTTAATCACAGTATAGGAACCTACAGAGCAAGTTTTAACCTCAGCTCACTCGAAATGCACACAAAGTCCTGAAAAACACGTTTAGCAATGGCATCATCAGGAAGCGTTTTACACCAAGCAGTGCTAATAGGTGTAATTAAAACTGAATGACACAGTTTTCCTCCCAACACTCCCAAGAGGACAATGTTTTCTTTCACACACTTCTGTGCTTCCCTCTGACAAGTTTTGACATGCCCGCTCGTTCAAACTCTAGTATGAACACACACACACACCCCCGACACACACACTTTTAATACAATCGTACCCAAAATTTTGTCTGAGCAGTTCCATCATGCAGACCCCATTAGCAGTCTACTCATGCTAAACCAACCTGCTACCTCTGCAGCTTCATGGACATAAAATATCTGGCAAAATGGATGTTACTTTAGCTCAAAGCTTAAAGTGAGCATCCTTCATTTATTCACAAAAGACAAATACAATACAGAACATAATGGAAAGGTTTACTTTCAATAAAATATGGGTGAGTTAAAATATTGTTTGAATATGACAACAGTTCACAACCGTTTTTTAATTAATAGCAGCTTAACAGTCAGTGTTGTTAGCTTAAGAGCACAGCTGCTTTGCCAAAGACAATGGCTCTTTCATGTCACAATTTCAATGGATGCCTGCAAGTACCACACTCTCTTAGGCAGTATATGCTACATAAAACTCTGGCCCACAGCTAAGCAGTACGTTTTTGAAAAGGTATCATTTAGCTGAACAGGAAAAACTTTTAAACAGTGAAATCATCAACTTAGTCACAACTGCTTAAATAAGTAGCTTTTCAGAAAGAGACAGCTGAGATTTGAATTCACTACTTGTGTCATTTTACTGAATAAAATGCAGAGAAGCATACAAAAGTGCTGTGCTTCATTTATCCTGAAATCTCGTGCTGTTCTCCCCATTCCAAACTAGAGTTAGTTCACAGCTTGAGATATTTTAAAGGTCACCCTGAAAAGTGTCTTTAAGCCCTATTAATATATTCAAATCTTCCTTAGTACAGCTGCCTCAGAAGCTGCAAATCAGACGGGGGGGGAGGGAAGAAAACAAGTTCAGATGTGCCTACTGTAGCAGAAGGCAGAAAAAGAAAAAAGCCATTTAACCTCGAGGAAAGCACATCCAGGAACTAAAACGTACACGTTTAAAATTACAACTTACACTTCTGAAGCAGGTCTCTGTTTGTAATAGATGGAGCACGAGCTATCACTGCTGAGGGGTCTGAGGACTGCACACAGGCACCGCATTTTGAGAGCGTTGTGGCACAGCTTGGCTCAGCAACCCCTCAACCGCAGCTTTTAATTTCCTAGCGCTAAACTTCCCAGTCAAGCTCCTCTCCCGGGGACTGTTGCTTGGCATATGAC